CATCCCATCCCATCCTTGTGCTTGCCCTGAGAGGGACAGAAAACACCCCACAGCTTGGATTTTCAAAGGAAGAAGAGTAGGCAAGCACTCCTTCTTTTTGAGGATCCCCTTCCCCATCCCTGGCGCTATGCAGGAGGGATGTGCTTGCCAAATTCCTGTTCTCAGCCCCCACCATCCCCCTCCCCACCAGTGAGACTCACGCTCCAGCGTTAACTTTGATGGATGCCACCTCCTTGTTACCCCAGCCCATGGCCTGCAGCGAGGGGTAGTCGTCACTCAGCTCAAACTTGTGCCCCTGGAAGTTCTCTGCTTCATAGAGGATGACTTTGCTGTCGTTGTGGTTCTGCAGAGGGACAGAGCTGAGGGTCAGCAGGGACAAGATGGCTTGCTCAGGGATAGGGGATGTGGCATCAAGGTGACATGCACCGAGGTACTGTGGGAGGTCTAGGGTCACGCCTTTGATGCAAGGCATGTGGATGTCCTTCAGCCTGGTACCCCCTCACCAGGACACCCCAGAGCTGCCCAGAGGATGCTGCTCCCATGTCCCAAAGCACAGCTGCAGATGAGGGTGACAGCGGCCACAAACATTGCACCCACACGGGCTCCTGCCGTTAGGATCCTCGCCCAGGCCAAGGTTGGAAGGCAAGGCAGGCTGCTGAGAGCAGAGTGTCCCCCCTCCCCCGACTCCATGGGGCTTTGCTGGGTGCTGGACACCGAGGAGTTAATTTCTGGGACACTGAGCGATGCGGCACTGTCCCCTGTGCCCAGCCCCCACACGCATCTATCTGCACCGAGGAGCAGTCCTGCCAGTAAGGAGTGATCTTATCACATCCCCTTTATTAAAGCCCAAGCATATCTGCCTGGTGATTATTAAAAGTTGGGGGGGGACCCCCCGCTCGGAGGCGCAGACGTGCCGCTATTGCGAACACCAGCGTCTCTGCAGATGGAGCGATAGAAGCTGCATCTGCCTGGGTTTGGCTCGGGTACCCCAGGAGGGAGGGGGATGAACCCCGCACCCCAACATCCCTGCAGTCCTGCCGGTTCCTCTCTGCTCAACCCACCTCCGGGTATCTAGGGTGGGGGGACAAGGCCTGGGGACCCCAGACTGGAAGGTGGCACTCCCATGCACAAAGCAGGAGCTGGGACAGTGTTTCAGGCTAATTTTTAGCCCTAAAGAGCAGCCCAGGATCCTTGTTGGGAAGTGGGAGCCAGCAGGAGCAGCCACATTTCCACCCCATGGTGCACCTCATGCCTCCATCCCATGTCCCACATAACAGTTCTCCTGTCTGTCCCTCATCTCCCTCCATGCTGGGCTATGGAGGGGATGCTCTGCTTGTCCCGATCATGCTCCCCCCCACCGTGCTGTCCCCAACTCACCGCGCACTTGATGGGCCGGAAGGAGAGGAGGTGCTCGGTCCTGTAGCCGCTGTTCCCACTCCATGCCTCCCACCGGGGATAGTCACCCTTTTCCAGGATAAACTGCTGCCCCTGGTACTCGGGGTACTCGAAGCCCACCCAGCTGGAGGGGAGAGGAGGAAAGCCCTCAGGGACATGCGGCGCAGCCCCCAGGCTCAGCCCAGTGCCAGCTTCTCCATCCTGGCAAGGGACAGAGACGTCCTGGCAGTGTATGAGTCTGTCACAGAAGTCAGGGTTCTTGCTAGCAGCAAGTGTCCCTTTTGAGAGTGGGGCTCCTCTCCCCAGGGCCACATCGTTGCCTCTGACCCACGCCTCAGCTTGGCAGGATCTCCCTGCTTTGCATATGGGGAAACTGAGGCACCATGCAAGGAATGCAGGGAGGGAGGTTGCACGATGAGGCTGTTGGAGCTGAGGAAGGACCTGGGTGTCCTGGCTCCCCGGCACCTCCCAACAGTCCCCTGGGAGCAGCAGGTTTGCTGGAGCGGGGTGCGCCAAGGGGCCGCGGGGCTGCCGGGGCACTTACGGGCCAGACTCCACCTTGATGGAGCGGATCTTGCGGAAGCCGCGCTCCATGATGCTGGGGCACTCCATGAGGAACTCGCAGCGCTTGCCCTGGAAGCTC